CCTCTTCCTCTCCTCTTCCTCTCCTCTTCCTCTCCTCTTCCTCTCCTCTTCCTCTCCTCTTCCTCTCCTCTTCCTCTCCTCTTCCTCTCCTCTTCTGTTTTTCTCTCTTCTCGCTCTTCTCTTTCCCTTTTTCTTTCCTTCTCTCCACTTACAAGACTCATCGGATTCTTTGTTCATTCAAGGATCGGCCAAAGAAAAGGGGACTTGTAAAACAGCAGCCGGAGAGTCATTGACCAGGAAATGTGATGCGGTGGTATCAGAGATGGTGTAACAACAAAAAAAAAATCGGGGGATGCTCCCTTGCTGTACGTTTTTGTGTTGGGGAGATAGAAGAAACATATGGAACTTGTAGGCAGCAGGAGAAGAAAAAAGAAGGGCAAAAAAAACATTGAGTGGATTTCATAGGTGATCCATGAAAAGCAGCTCTTGAACTGGACCCATCTGAGATCCCCCAAAGAAGGGGGGAATCCCAATCCCGTTTGTGTGGGAGATGGGGAGAAACGAGCAGTCTGGATGGAATGACCAACTCGGGCACAGCTGGTGTCTTTCCCCTCCTGAAAGATTCTGCACCCAACTGCCTTGAGGTGGGTGCTGCTAGGGCAGAGCAGAGCCGTTGAGCATGCGGGGACTACTGGGGGAATTTCCCTGCCATAGCAATTCGGGTGAAAACACTGAATAACACTTCTGCTTTCGCCCTTCTACCTCTTCTTCCTCTGCATAAAAACCCTTGAGTCCTGTAAAAAGAAGCTAATGGGCAGGTTTTTGAGGGAATTTGGAAGGAGATGAACTACTGAAGTGGATTTTCTTCTCCCTAGTGCCAGCCTCTTCCGATGTATTCCTTTGATTTATTAAAACATTCAGACTCGCCTTTGTTGGAAAAGCGAAGGACTTGGGCCAGACTTTGTGGATCATAGTTTCATTTGCAGTAAGACCCCCATTCCCTGCACCTCCCACCTTATTTTTTTTCGGGAACAGACGTAGCGTGTGGATTATGTGAGGGTTTTGGCAAGTTTGTCTCGGCCCTTTGTTTAAGCTGTGCTGAAAGGCAGTGCTGCAGCATGAGGTCAGTGCTGTCTGATGGATTGAGCAGACGTGGAGTTTTGTTTTAAAAAATATATATATATGTATATATTTATGGAGAACTCATTATGGAGAGAGGAAGAGCTCCTCTGCAGAAACCTTAGGGGATTCCGTAAGACTTTTCTGAGCAAAAGTCTCCAAGCGCCGAGCTTAGGCCCTCTTGGTATCCATCTCTTTCCATCAGTCCAAACAAAAAAAATTCTCCAGACGCTCAACGTGGACTTAAAACAGCGGGGTTTTGCATTTATACATGTAACTGATACTGCGGCTGTGTTTTAGGTTGAGGAGCTGTTTGTTCAGAACTTGTAGCTAAGCTGTGGATGAGCAACGACCTTTCTGTTTTGCTACCATTTCTTCATATTTTTTAAGCTCTTAGCTATTTCTCTTTATTGCAAGAGTGCATAATTCTTAAACTACAGTGATATATGGTTTTGATTTGTGCATCCTAGGCATATCAACAGGGGAAATCTATTAGAAGTGACCTAGTGTGAGCTCATCTTAAGGAAGACTATTTTTTTCCATTAGAAAAGCGAGAGCCTTCTCACTGTGTGTATTTACCAGAACTGGAAATTATGTCAACAGATGGGGAATTGAGAAAGGAAGGTAAATGGTATCCTCACTCAGCAGAGCATTTTTATACTGTGTTGCTTGGACTCAATGTTTCCAAGGCAAGTAAGGGTAAATGTAAGTTAATGAGCGTCTTAAATCTCCCTTTTGTGTTGACGTTGGTCATTTTGGAGCTGATGTCTGCCTGGATAGAAGATTTATGGAAGGAAAAGGGTGGATTTAAGAAAGGTGAGGATGACGAGGTAGCCAGGGCCAGCATTCAGTGGCCAATGAGACTTTTTCCTAGGAACCCACCTTCCAGGTGAGGCCTGGGGACGTGGAGCCCTGAGCCTGAGCTCAGGGCAGGGCAAATCACGTTTGGCTGGTCTAGCTCTTTTAAAATGTGTGGAAGGAAATTTTAGAGGTCGCTGCATTTGAGAGGTCTGCCCACCCAGCCGTTTCGGCGTTAGCTCAGCTTGCATGTGGCCAGGAGCTCTTCAATCATGGCTTATGAAGCAGTGACTTGACTTGCTTGGTGAATTTTGTCCCTGTATTTGAGATATGGACTCTGGCAGCTTCTTTGAGAGAGCCAGACTTTGCTTTGAATGATGGAAAACCAAATGTTCATGAGATGGATATCTTAGATGGATGGTTTTGGGGGGCACAAGCTGGAGAGATGAGTTGTGTTTTCCTCATTGCTGATCTGCTCCGGTGTCTTTTTCTCCTTTTGAACCTTCCCCTGAGTTTCCCATCTCCACCAAAGGTTCCTTTGTGTAACAGGGTGGTTCGGGGCTGCGAGGTGGCCTGGAAGTAGAGCAGATTGGGGCACTAAGGACAAACATCTACAGGCCCCTGACATCAGGATATCAGGAAAGGAAAACCGGAGGGAAGAACAGACAGATGGGGATAGCGAAGAAGGGCATGAGTGGGTGTTCAAGCCGTTTAAAACCATTGTGTTGACTGACAAATGTGGCAGTTGGAAGCAGTTTGGCTGTTGGGTCTGGGCACCCAGGACATCTCATGGGCTTGTTTTTATTAGTGACTCTCTGATAGTTTAGTTTAGATAGATTAGTGACCTCCGCCTCTTGCCGTGGCTAGTTCAGGAGAGCCCGCGTGCTGGTGGCTGGTGGCCCCGGCCTCCCTAGCTCCCATTCCGGCGTGTTTGCCGCTCACGACCGGGCCAAAACCTGCTTTTGTTCCCAGCTTTGCAGCCGCCCGAGGCCGGATGACTGTTCGGCTGAAAAAGCGCCCGGCTTTTCACGTTCGGCCGCGCGCTCGAGTCAGCAGATGCTGACTGGGGACTTGGAACCAAAGGGATGGATTGTGTCAGTTCGGAAGGTTGAACTTTGCAACTGAGGCCACGCGTCTGTCATCCCAATGTGTGACATTGGTTTCTCGTAATGCAGGCCTTGCTGGTAGGCAAAAATGCGTTTGCAGGTGTCTTGCTGCTCCTTGTGTTTGTATTCTGTGTTACTGGGTATTGCAGGCGAAGTCAACTGAGCAAAAATATGGTGGACCTTCTCCAGGAGGCTCCCGTGATGGTGTTTGTGGTAGAAGGGTTTTGGTAGAGGAGTTTTCTCTTCTCTGCAGCATCATTATTGTAAAATTTCCTCAGCTCAAGTGAGAAGTATGCAAACTATGCCTTATTTTTGCTGGCTGTCCATGCTAATTCCCAAGTTAAACCAACAAATCAAGAGGCCTTCAACTTAACCAAGAAGTATTCTGCGTCATCCACATCCAGTCCTACGTGGCTGTACGTTGTGCTACGGGTACATGTGCTACAAACATGGCCTTGGATGGGCTACAGAGACTCTCCTGCAGGTTCACTACTTCTGGCTTTCACTGTGGGTGTTTGGAAGAGGCCTGATACCTGAGTGCATCGAGGCATTTGGAGCCAGTGAAGTATATGGTGCCCATATGACCCTGGTGAATGTTGCAGAAGATGCACATCAACGCAAAATTCGGTTTAGATGAGAAAATAACGATAAATAAAATCGATTTAAGCCTATAATCCTCTATTAGAGCACACTGTAAATGCCTGATTTCCTCCAGAAAATATAAAAATAAATGGCTTGATTTTGGGGGGAAAGGAAGCCGGTTCATAACACTTGATGCAACTGCTGTGGGGTTGGTGTGGGACACGGGAACGTGGCTCGTGCCAGGTGAGACTGGGATCTGCCCCACTTCCGTGGCTGGGTCTGCTTCATTCGTGCCTCTCTGCCCTGTGTTCCTTCCAACCTGTTCCAGGTGCTTCTGTTACTGCAAAAGCTGCTGCTTTAATGTCTCCTCTTTCTACTCCCAAGACCTCGGTCATTCTTCTCAAACAGATGTCACCATTTTCCTTGTTTATTGAATAACATTTTATGCTGCTATCCTGCTGACACTGGACAGTCGATGCAATTTGCTCACAAAAGGAGAAAAAAAAAAAGCATGAGAGGGAGGAACGTTTCCTGGGTACCCCTCGAACAAAGGAACCCAAAGGGAAGCTGCTGGAAATGACGGAATGTAGAAAATCAGCCTCCCTTCAATACCGTGGTCTTTCTGGTGCTGGCTTCATGTGCTGAGTTGTCCTCTCTAGATATCTAGCTTGTTTTTGTGGGTTGCACTTTAACTTTGCAAGCCCTGGCAGAACCGTGTGGATGTTTCTTTCAATCTAATGCTAGAATAATCATTAACATCATTTTTCTTTTTTTTTAAAGGTGAAAGAAGAGATGCTGTTTGAAGCCCTGGTTACCAGAAAGACAGTGACTGTAGGAGAGAAGCTCATCTTACCATACAAACTAGCAGAGGTTGGTACCTGATGTTCCTTTTACAGAGGGAAACGCTTGGGGTGGTTTTCAGCACTTTGAAATGAGCCTGAAATGCATGCTTACGTACTGGTAGAGTTTAGATATTGCCTTATTTATTTAGAAATAAGTATATGGAGAAGCTGATGTCTGTGCGAATGTGGGCACATAATTAATGATTATGATGGGAGAAGGGACCTGAAGAAGTGAGGTGGTTTTGCTTGTGAAAGCCCTTGTTGAAATTGAAGTGGAAAGAGTAAATTATCAGACTGCCCTGATGTACTGCCCTTGGGCTTCTGCTTGCAGTCTCAGGATATTGGGAGAGTTGTTAGAGATTGTGCTTCTCTTGATACTGCTGTTGACCCTGCAGACAAGGACCCTTGAGCCCTGGTTTCCTTGTCTGTGTTGTGCTTTGAGTTTCAGAGTGTTAGAGAGGAGCTGTAAGGATGGAGCTCTAATTTGAAATAAATGTTCTTACATAAAAAGCCTTGAGATGTTGCGTTCTGAAAGGAGTTTTGACCTTCAGTGATGTTCCTAAGGGTGTCTGCTCAGTGATACCATCGGTACAGATGGTGCTGTTGTGTGGATCTGTTGTTCTCAGATTTCTTTGGTCAAACAGTGGCCAAACAAGCTGGTCACCAGTTCTTTGACCAGTCACATGGATCACAACTTGATGTGGAAATACCTTCCAATATATGGTTAGCGCTCTTCATAACACGCTCTGTGATCCACCTCTTTGCCCTGCTGTATCATGTCCTGCAACATCATGATCTCATGATGATGATAGTCTTGAATGAGCAGAGGATGCTGAGGTCATCTCCTCTTTCAGAGGTTTGGAAGCAGCAGAGCGGAGAGCAGACTTCTTAAAGCCAGTTAAGTCTTTCCTCTTTGATAATTTTTCTCCGATCCCCAGCCCCACAAGAGCGTTAAGAGCGTTAAGCTGCTGCTCGCTGGCAGTGATGCTGCCTTCCTCCCTGTCCCCACTGCATTGTTGCTATCATTGCCTGGTTAGAAACATCATTGGGTGGTTTGGGGGATTTTATTTATTTATTTATTTATTTTATCGTTTGAGACTGCGGTTTGAGCACTTGGCAGCTCCTCGTTTGAAACGGTTGTTCTTCAGAGCAGACCTAAACTTAAATGAGATTTGCTTTGTAGATTTGTTCTGCTTGTCTTTACAGTGATTCATGTAAAACCAGGACTTTTATTCCTACATATCTTGCTCCTTGGATCAAAGTATTTCACAGTGTCCTTGTATATTATGTTTAGGGAAGGAGGAACAACTTAGAGCTGAAGATTTGGGTGGCTTGAAGTTGATGGTGCTGAAAATGACCCCTAAAATTAACAACTATTTCTCATTTATTCATCTTGTAGTTCTGCACTTACCGTTGTCCTTGTTGGCTTTGTTTTAAACATTGTAAGCATTAGCACACTTAAGCCAAGTGTGAATGTTGGTGTTGTCAACTCGGTGTTCTTAAACCCACTTTTTGAGCATTACCTGCATATAGCTGTTCTGGTGAGTGATGTTGAAGGAGCTAAACTGATTTAAAAGATTAAAATTATATTCAACTTCAATAAAGTAAGACTCCAGCAGAGTAATAACACCTTTCTTTAGGTACCAGCAGTTGCTAGTACTTCCTTCTCCATCTGAACAAGCTTTTAACAGCGCTCATGGAGTTTGTTTAACTGTATTTCATGCAGGAGGGTGAAGGGTGTGTGGGAAGAGCACCTACTTGAGGAGGGCTGGAGGCAGGAGCAGCTGGGACTTGTGCCCCAAGTTCTCATTTCAACATCTGACCTGTTTTTCCTAAGCTCTTAATGTCCATCTTCATAGTATTATAAAAATGATTGAATGATTGAGTGCTGTACTCTTCAGGAAAACTCTATAAAACCTAACGTGCCCTCAGATTTTTTTTGATCATTCACTCAATCTTGGAGTATCTGGCCTTGGTTTTAACAGTTGGATGATGCCTGTTGTCGTTGGAGTCACTGGTACTTCCTAAGCTAGGGGGAAAATGAGACAAGAGACCTGGTTGTGCAGGTTAAAACGGACCCAGCTTGGCCTAAACATCATACGTGCCATTCAGGAGCGCAGTTACACCTTCCTCAGTGGAAGTGGTGGCTGGTTTGGACTTGATGGTGCGGGAAGCCTGTGTGGAGGAAGCGTTGCCTACACGGAACCGCTCTGCATCTCTGGCCGGCGTCGAGCAAGAATCCCACATCCATAAATAACGCTTATATTTACCTCTGGCAGCTGCCTCTTATCTGGAGCCCCACGCTGGCCTGTGTGCCAGAGCGCTGCCTCCTGCAACCATTCATTTTTCCTTTTATAGGAGCCGGATGGGATTTTAATGCAGTGTTTCAGCCGACTGCGTAATTTGCTTTAGTGCCGAGCTCTCCAGGCTTTTATGCTGCTGATGGGCTTAGAGAAAGCCGCACGTGCATGAAAGGCTGCAGTTTTATTCAGGGATCCAGCTTTTTTCCTTTGCCCTAATGACTTTCCTAGGAGCGGAGCTGTCTATTAACATAGCGAGCAGCATTGATGGGTTTCCAGGGAAATCACGGTGTGTCCGTGCAGGCCCAAGGCTGGGCAAGAGGCAGAGCACGCAAAGAGGGACCCGGCTCCGAGGCGGGATTTGGCCACGGGAGCCCCAGGGCGGCGAGTGATGCCTCGGGTAATTCAGGTCTGTGTTTAGTGCAGGGGTTTGTCTCCAGCCCCAGCACTCTGCTTTCCCAGAAGGGAAAATGGAACCAGCATTCCAGTGCACTGGAGAAAAATGGAGCTTAAATGAGGGGTTCCGAGAATTGTGGTTCTCCCTCCCCAAGTGCGCCTCAACTCCACTCCTTGGAGATACATATGAAAGTAAATATGTATATATATATTATATATATATAATAAATATATATAAATATATACAAATATATTTATGTTTTCATATTACTAATACTTTTTTTAATTAATTCTCCATGCAAAGTAGAAATGGTTTATAACCATGATTTAAGCATCCAAAGAGCAATAAAAGGAAAGAAAAAACCAAAAATAGAGACACATCGAACCTTAAGTGACTTGCTTCATTAGTAGGAAAGGTGCTGGTTAACTGCTCTGCTCTGCAAGCGGATCCAGGAGCCCCCTAATCAAACCCTTGTGGAGGCCTCGGAGGCTCTCAGAGTCTGCTGCTGCTCTTTATGTTTGCAGTTTGAATATCATCATCTCGAGCTTAATCCAGGCGTGGAACAGCCCTCCTGGGCCACGTCTGTCTTCCTGCCTCTATCTAAATAATTCAAAGAATTCAGATTTTTTTTTTATCTTGTCTTCCTGCAAGACCCCAAGGCCTTGATGAATGTAGTCATTTACCCCTCCTAGACCCACCCAGCATCTCGGCTGGGCTTCCTCCACTCCTGTCAACCCTCTCCTGCACTCTGCGCCTCGCTGCCCCTTCCCATTGCAGCAGAGACCGGCTCCGTGCCTGGATGGACACTTGTTTCTCCCCACCTTGTTTCTATCCCACTTGCTCTGCTTATCAGGCCAGTGCCCATCACCTGCTACTCTGCTTTTCACCAGAGTCCCTAGGTTTTTTTTCCATGCTTTCCATTAGATGAGGAAAACTCCTTATCAAAGTAGATGCATCTGTCACTGAATCCTCTTTTGCCTCCCTCCAGAAAACAGATTTTTTTCCATGATGCCTTCAGTCCTGTTCTGTTGGCACTGCTAGAGTGACTTTGCAGATCTTTATAACTTGCAGCCGTTTATAAGCAAGAGTATTTTATACCTGAAGGTTAGTTCATGAATTAGTTCATACTCGCTAATGAGGCCGTTAGTTCTAATGTCCTGAGGAGAAGAGGAGAAGACAACAGCATGGTGTTTGTGGTGGCTCGTCAAGAAGCCACATGGAGACTGTCCCAACTGGGAGACTGTCCCAGTCTTGTGTTGGACTGAGAGGATGGACAGGTCTGCAGAGGTCCATCCAGCTGCTCGTGACAAGAGGGAATCTGGATTCTCCACCTACCTTCTCCCTGAGCTTTGCTGCCTTGGTCTTGGTGCGTTGAGTAGAGGAAAGACGCTTCTCTTCAGCCTGTCAGCAATTAAACAGACCTTGATGTGAGGCCAAACGTGGTTCATGACAGCAAAGAGCTGAGTGCTGTTTCATTGGTGCATGTACCAGTGTGATACTGTCTAGTGCCTTTTTCAGACCATGAGAAATGCCGTGAGAATTTCAGGCCATGAGAATTTCAGGCCATGAGAAATTCAAAAAGTAGAAATTCAAAAAGGAAATTCTCCTGTGGCCACATTTAACCGATGACCTAACATTGGCTAAGGTATTTAAAAAGGAAAAAAAAAATCATAGTTGCAGCTAGCTCTGAGTATTTAATAGCCAGAGAGCATTGCAGGAGAGGTGGGAGGGATGTGCTATGATAGCAGAAGGGAAGGGAGCTGAAAATCCTCCATCCAGAACTGGAAGGATGTGGATGCTTAATGGAATCTGGAGTGACAGCCCCCTGGAAGCGGGTGCTTAATGCCAGGCTGTATTAGCTTATGGGCTCCTTGTCAGCCTAGGTCATTAAACAGGAGCTTAGCAGGGCTCCTTTGAAAGCTTGGGTGTGCTAATGAGTGCGTTCAGAATTACAGAAAAGGCATTAATGGGCTAAAAATGGAAAGCCCCCCCCAGCTTTTGAGAGGCATCCAGCCTCGCTGCGAAGGCAGCCTGTCGATGGGGAACTTCAGAAGGAGCTTTTTGCTGGGATTGGGGTTTTCCTCACTGCGAGGAGCCGGGAATAAGCCCCTCGTGGGGATGCACGAGAGCAGCCGAGGGGAGTTTTAGCACTGTGGGTGTTTTCTTGTGGGACGCAGCATCCTGCCTCCGTCAGGAAGACGGATGCCCCATCAAAACCCTGTTTGATGATTCTTTTATGTCGGGATGATTTATGCCCAGAGATCTGCTAGCACAAGGCTCTGCCTGGGAGATGCTGCTGAGATTTGGGCTGAACAGGGCTTGTTTTTGTGG